ATTCGTCTTGCTCTTTACTTTGCCACACCACGCTAGTTTTCGTTTTTTTCGTCCTTCTCTTGGTATCTGCCTCTCAGTTTTTCTTATCAAATTTCTCTCGAGCTCAATACACAAACAGTGAAACAATCAAACGTATACGATAAACAATCAAGCAAACATACCAAACGGGCACCTCTGCTATATATCAACTGTATTTGTTTTTTATCGAGATGATGCTGGACTATACTCATTACCAGACGTTTGCTTCCATGTTTGAACCGATAATTCCCACCAGTGAACCATCTTTTTTATTTTGTTGTAGGTAGTAACCTTCCGACGGATCATTCGATGAAATTTGAGGATGTGAATTGATCCGAAATTTTCAGACTTCATCTCTCAAATGAGTCGGATGTAAACAGATCTTTTGTTTGTATGTTGATAAACAACAAAGGATCTCAATCAGAATTGGAAATAATTTGCATACCTTTCGAATATGAAGTGCGCTATGAGTGATCGAATATTGTGATGACCTTTCGAACGAATTCAACCGAAATTTCACATCGTCGACAGTTGAGCTATCATAGATGTATGGATAAGTATTGTGTTGTAGCAACTCAATAAAGCTCGACATCCCCATTAAGTGTTCCTCGTTCACTTGGATTCGATTCTGATCATCCATATGGGATGCATGAACGGAGCTTTATTGTTCATCAATATTTCAATGCTTTGTTCAAATATTTCAAAGCTCATTTTGATTCTTCGCATTGCATCAAAAAAGAATTCATTTGTTGGATTATTGTCGTTGGCATTTAATGCACCGGCAATGCCGTTTAATGTTCATTTCGTTTTATGAATAATTTCAATGAAGTAATCGAATTTTTTTGTGAAATTAATTCCGTTCATATGAACGCATGATTGTTGATAGTGTATCTGATCTCATTGCAAGCAGTCATTCAGCAGGATTTATCACTAGTGGAAATATCATCTGTTGAATGCATTTCATTTTCGAATCATTTCATTTACAATTAGTTTGAAATCGAAATTATTCGCATTCAGTTACCAATAAGAACTATTTTAATAAATAATTGTTAATCATTTAATCAGCAATTATATTGCATTACGGGAATACGCCTTTTTATTGTCGTCAGTGTCACATTCTTGATTCTTCGGCATTCTTCTCTGCATGCAGCCGGCGATATTGATACGGAAATCATCCAACTTCGTGGATGTTATCGGAGTAATGATTTAGCGATGATGAAGTGTGGGATCGCTTTCATTGATGTTTGGGGAGTTAGTCTCTTGATACTTTCATAAAAAGCGCACTTCGATTGATCGGGGAACCACCTTTGAGTGTTTCCCTGGACGAACCCTTTAAAACTACACAGAGTGCTAAGTCAGCAATAATGATCACCCTTTCTTCCGATAGTTGTTACATCCTCATACAATCAGCAGCAAACGAGGTTTCAAGCATGATAATAGCAGCGACGGTAATGATGCAATCCAAGCAGATACCGTAATCTTTTACGACTGAAGTGACCAGCACATTATTTTTTCCAGTGCTAACCTAACAAGTTTGCTGATCAAGGCGGTTCGATTCGGATGCTAAGCTCGTCCAGATGCTAAATACATGACCAAACTAAATGTCCTATGACAGTAACCGGGAATCCACCTACTGTAACCATCAAATAATGATGTAATACGGATAGTGACAGCGAAGACAATGATAACACTGATAATGGCAGAGGTGATAATAATAGTATTGACAGCATTAATTTTAATAATGACACTCTCGATAATAGTAAACGTGTGCACGCAGATGTATATAACTATATGTGGAGTAAATTAACCCAGCAATTAGTTAGTATGTTGCAATAAAGACGATATGGTGTTTGTAAATTATCACAAACAGCTTGTGGTTGTGAGTGCACGGTGACGCTATAGCTGCACTCATTCATCTTTATCAGCAGTTGGTGTCGTACAAAACTGATTTTGGATGGCAAAATTACGTTTATCGGGATGCTTTGCAATTGTGTATGTCCATGTGAATACCAGTTGGTAATTATGTTGGTGGTGGTTCAGCACTAGACTGTGGGAATTTGTAGGTGAATTAAGCATAAAATGTGGAATAAGCACAAAACTGATTGCATTTTACTGTTGTTGGGATGTGTCTGAGGATAGGTACGACAAGGTTCACTGAGAATATAAAATCCTTACGAAGCAGCGTTCGATTGTGCACTTTTTATTGATTCGTAATGGTCATTAAATGTGACTAATTGCTCACTTTTGCGTTTTTTCTCCTTTTACTGCTGCCTGCAAGCACATAATTTATGATAGGCGTGATAATTGCATTCAAAATGTTCGAACTGTGCTTCGTCGTGTTTTATTAAATTTACGTTCAGGAGGTATTAGTGCTTAGATGAAATGTTGTTCATTCACTCGGATGGATGACTTTTATGTATCTTCTTAGCACATTTCGCGAACTGAATTATAGAATATTTCATGTTTTGGCCAGAAAAGTGTGATAAAATGTGAAACGGGAAGCGTACTATGAGAGGTTTGGATTCAGTGGCTGCAGTATGACATTCGGTCAATATTTCAAAGCAATGCGTTCGTTGTGTTGAAATGACTTTGGTGATTTGACTTAGAAGGGGAAGAAGTTTATTTGAAAGTTTATCTTTGATTCAGCTAATTAGAAATCGTTGTGCATCGAACGACAACAACTGGTTTTGTTATTGATTAATCGTTGTTGCCGACAAGCGTTGAATTCAATAATATATGACCAGCGTTGAGAAGTTCTCCTTCATTGTTTTCATATTGTGAGCAGTTGTGAGCCTTTATTTATATTTCCTGAACGAAAATTTTAGCGCCATCTTTTCGAATCGTTTTCGTTGCATAGTTGCTATTGATCACGTGAAATGGTCGTGTGGAATTTTCTTGAGTGCTGATCTCGAGATTTGTGTATTGATCATGTGAAACGCGCAATGGCTTTGATTTGCATACGTGGCCGTGAAACTGTGCATCCATTATGTGAGAATACATGCATGTGTTATCGCATATTGGCAGAACAATTTCCTCGGCACAATTTCTTTATTGTTCCTTTTCATTTGCTTTTTGAAAATACCACTCTAACGGCTTCTACACTCTGGTAGATATTGTTTATGGAAATTGTTCTGGACGCCGATACTAATGAGCGTTCAGCTTTTTAGTTTTGTCATAACTGACGTCATAAGATCACTACCGATAAATGATCGTTGTTGCTGCATTAATAAGTGTTCTGCATAAGTACATTGTTGTAACGCCTAATGAACGCACTGTTGAAATCAAACATTTAGGTACTTTCATGTGTTTTCCCTGAGATTTTGGTAGCTCATGATGAATTGTGTTTTTCATCAATTGCAGCTCGCCAAGGTGAATAAGATCAAGATAGAACAAAGCGTGATTTTCTGAATTGAAAAACTTCATCGTTGAGATTCGTGATAAAGGCAAATTATGGCGAAAATGTGATGCTCTCTTGCCTAGGAAATGAGATTTAAAACATCAGCATTTTTTGGGAGTAGAAAAACATTTTAGTTCTTACAATAAAAAATCAGTTCCAGTGATATTATCGGCAATGTATGTATTCAGTCAAAATGATAGATAAGAATGTCAATTTCTGGCGAAGTATTTCCTATTTTATTTCTGAAACTTCTCGCATTTATATTGATCGGAAATAGCATTTGAGTGGAGAATCTGCTTCACTCATTACCCACCGAATGTAAGTTAACAGCTCCAACCTGTTAGCTGTTTTGCTTTAATTTAAGCAGCTGCCCTCATTACGAAGGGTATTTCGAACTTAATTTTCTAAACAATTCAACGAACAACTGAAGCTGTTTATTGAAAATCATACGTCGCAATATACTTCTGATTAGTCGCCGCGAAATTTAGTGATTATCACTATTATTCTCTATCAATTTTTCACAGTTGTCGAGTTTATATTCAGTCTGTTAAATCGCTTACTATCTATTGGTCTTCATCACAAATGGAAAAAGGGATTACTGAGCGCATATTATGGCTTTCTGTTCATGAAAGTCAGCAATATGTCTTATTAGAAAGCTATCATTGGCAAAATATGAGAGGCATTGAAATTGCTTAATGGACTGATGTATTTCATATTTATGAATAAGATTATTGAGAAAATTCCATTGATAATATCAATGGGTAGTCAGATGTCATCATGAACAATAATCAGGCAGTGGATGCGTTATTAATACCCAGTGATATTCGGGGCATAATCTTTCGCGAAGAGGAAATCAGGGAAGCTGAACACTCTGCTGTTTCTGTTTAATGATCGTCGTCTTTAAAACTGTATGCACGTCAGCGTTCTGTATTTACGTTCATAATGTATTCAGCTGAGTCCAAATGTAACTGTTATTATAAACATTGTCAAATAGCAATCGATAGAATAATGTACTGGAGCGTATTGATTAATAAGGGATAATTATCTGTTATCAATGAGCTTACTCTGAAATGGAAATATTTAGACACAATTGGTGTTCAGTTTCCACTCAGAACTATCAGTCATGGATTAGATGGATGATACGTCAAAATGCAGATATTGATGGCTAAATACATTCTTTCAAATTTTACAGTGTTCGGGTAGAAGTTGGTTTTAGAAACATCAGTGAGCTTCGTAGAATTTTTCATTGTTTTAGAATTCTTTCGTCATATCTGTATCCGCGTTCATCTGGAACTGATTCTTCCTTTAGCATTTTCATTATTCGTTGAATGTTGGAAGATGATTACACGAATCAAATTTGACAGTTGTGTGCCGAGATCGTGGAATTATGATACTTGATGGCGTTATGTATTTAGTTCATTCAAATACTTCAGGAATATTCAGCATCCGAAGAGAAGAGCATTTCTGAGAGAGAATTTGAATTAGTTCACTGCACAACGCTTTTCAATCAGAATGAACTTATTGTATCAATAATCACCACAAATATGGTTATTGTTAAACTGAAGGTGATAAATTTCAGCAACAGATGAACACACCGGATGATCCGGTGATACACAGCCCTCCGTCTTTACGTGGTACCGCGCCATCTGCTTTATTGACAGCTTCGCCCGGCATAGCATTAGGTTCTTTAGCGGGCAGACAACAGAACGTTTCCGTAAGTGTACCGTCGATCGCAGGAGCCCTTCAGGCTACTGCTGCAGGTATTCATTGTCCTTTATCGCTTTTACTAGACAATTTGAATGTTGGTTATTATTTCTTTCCAACGCTCGAAATAGGTTGACAAGGATTTCGTTATCACTTCTGTTATATTCTTTCATTGAAATCAATTTGTATCCGTCAAAATCTTCTTTTATCGTTAGACTTTTCACGATCCCAAACGAACTTTTAACAAAGTTCTTGTCTCCATGCGAGATGATTAGACCGTTATTGTTGGGGCAGTTGAATTCATCTGCGTTATTTAGTGCCAGTTCATTACATACTTCACGATACAATTCTATTGATTTGCAGAAGCTCATATGCGTTATTCTGTTCTATCTCTTGCAGTTAATAGTGGCTCAATTCAAATTCATATTCGCTTTTCTTTTGAACAGATCTCTTTAATTTACATTCTACAAATGTCAGCGTTGGTAATGATATCGTTCCTCGAAAATATTGCTTCTCTTCACAGTTCTTCTCACTCCGTTCATAATTATATAATGACTTCCGAAATTTAATCCAGTGTATGTATTTGTATGCATTGAAAAGATATCCAGTCGACAATATTCCTTCATCGGATAAACCAAAAGGGTAAAGTTCAAGAATCTCTGTTGAATTGGAACATATCGCTGCGGAGGAGGTAACTAACCACATGAAAGTGGATACTGTCGTGTTCTTGGTTGTGGTGTGTGCCTTATGCAAGTTCATCTGTTTATATAAAGAGAGTTTGTTAGAACTCGTTTCCTTTTCGAATCATTACCAAATTACTTGTGAAGAAACTGCATTTCACGTAATTGCTTTCGACAATTTCCTTTTGATGTTGTATGTGTCTACTGGAATATCTTTTTGACTTTCTTGTTATATCTCATTTTGTTATTTTTGATTTTGATTGAATTTCTTGTTCTTGTTATTCATACACGCATTCATATCGCAGTCATAATGATTGTTTTTCACTTATGATTCCTGGTTTTGTACTTCCTCTTTCCAACTGTCTTGTTGATCCCAAATCTGCAATCAGTGAAAGGTTTCAGTGCTCTGGAACTGATCTTTTGGTTTTGTTCTGTTTCTACATCTACTAATGTTTTAGTTGCGTGGATTTTTGAATTTGTAAACTCATTTCCTGAAATTCTGCAGTGTTGCTTTCGTCAAGAGTATTTTTGTGTGAAGTGGATACTTTCCGATGAGCGTGAAATAGCAACTTCATGGGGATTATTCATTCACGTGGATCGGCTTCGTTATTTCGACCGAAGATTACAGTAATTCTTTTCATATATAATTTCATGATCTAAATGCAACTGTAGGACGATCATAAAACCAGTCTTTTCCTCGTATAATTTTTCGAATCTAATTTCGCACATTGCATGCAGCAGTAAATTTGCGTTTTTAAATTCCATTTTTCTACAAAATTTTTACATTTTCCATTTTTCTACAAACCAAAATTGTATTCACAAACTTTAGCATTTTTGCCGATTGAAATTCGTACATTTTACATGTGGAAGTTTGTCATTTGAGAACAACGAACGAAATTCGAAAGGTTTCAGGCATAAAATTATGCACAAATTTAGCCGATTTCATGCAACTGAACGTGGTCGCAATCGATCGCTCACTTTTCGATATCTATTCTTTCATTAAATCACATACACACATGTACATACACACACACACACACACAAGGAAACTTATTCGTCGAAAACAAGGAGTTTGTTACGTATTGTTTCAACTAATGAGCAATTGTCATTCCTCTTCGTTCTTCACGTCAACAACCCTTTTTCATTCACAAATCAGTTCGTTTCCAACGAATTGACTTTAGAATGATAACATTATCCTATTCAAACAATGCGCTCATGCAGTTCATATGCACGGATTTCATTCTAAACGTTTCTCATTTGTACCATCGTTTTTCGCCTAATATTTCCATCATATCAATGTTGCGATAACAGCGTGATCCAGAATCGCTGACTTAATCCTACTTTGTCTCAACTTTCTATTAATTATCGATCGATCTGTTCATTTTCTATTCGTTTCCGAAGATGTATGCCCAAACTTCTCCCGAATTACAAATGTTTTTGAAGTGATGTTTGTGTTCAACGTCTAATTGATTGATCGTTCTTTTTCTTATTCCTCCTTCATTTTATATTTCGACAACGAAAAATGTTGTTTTTATCGCTGACGAAGCGAATCGCAGTTTTCGTTATTACACTTCACCAAAAAGCAGTCGTTTCCTCGCTATCGAGCTATTGGATTTCACAGCATACTAAAGCATGCATCCGCGAGAGATTTCTCGAGAATCGTTGGTGATGATTTCAGTCTCTCGGGCCCTTTCCATTCTTCCAGTTGTGTTGCATGAGTGGCAAGTGGGATTGATCTCAGCATCAATGTGATAAAAAATATTCATATGATAATGAATGTCATGTTCGTGTTTATATTAACATATCCTATTAAACATGTAAATTATCCCGAATCTTCAAAATTGGCAATTAAAAGTTTGCTGAACTGGCCTTAATTTCTGGCCTTAATCTTGAATCTTCTATTTCTATTGTGCAACATGTCTGGAGCGTACTCGAAATTGGAGCACCGCCACATTCGATTGTTGCTCTGTACTATCAGTGATCTTGCTATGCCTTGTGCAGAATGAAGTGATATAATGTGTAAAATGATGATATTCTACTGGATTTGTCAATGAAAATGTTACACACAGGAGTAAATTATGATACAGGAGTACTATGCGCTTAATTCATGCTCATTTAAGGTGTATTACCAACCAGCGGAATGAATATGATGGATGAATTGGGCTTGGGTGGGAGTGGTGTCCGAGCTGGCGTTTCAGCTAATGGATGCGATTCACCGATGAGTGATGCAGCCGCTGAGGTCATCATTCTATAACCATTGCCTTATGATTATTAGTAATCGTTATGTTCATTGCTGAACTCGTTGAATATTGCGAAGTCATAGTGTGCTTTCATTATTTGACAATTAGTTTGATGTTGTTGCGATAATTTTGCTATTTTTACCGTTGAATGTGGGCAGCGTTTGGAGTGTTTCAAATGCAGTGTGGTATTAACTCAAAAAAACTCGTTCGCCAATTACGCGGCTCTGCAAAATTTATTACAAATTTTTTTGCATCTCTTTTCAAGTGGTTTTCTTGTTTAATGCACAACTGTTGCAAGTGCGGTAATTGCTCGCATTTTCTCTCAGATTATTCACTGCACATTCTTCAGTTATCGCATCAACCTTGAGTGAACGCCGCTTGCTCAATGTTGATGTGACATACCTGATGCAACGTCTCGGAATTTTTGTCGATTTAACATTATCCATTTGATGCAAAAATAATGAACGCAAAATCAGAAGAAACTGTTCATTAATCTAAATAAGACAAAATCCGGTTGTGTTTAGAGCACTGCACGCTGGGCCTTCAGACCTTGAATTAATGTGAAATTGATTTTAGGAGGCACGTCGCCGTCAAAAGACATGTCGCGTATGTGGTGACCACGCAACAGGATATAATTTTAATGTGATCACCTGTGAATCGTGTAAAGCGTTCTTCAGAAGAAATGCGCTCAGACCAAAGGTTTCATTTAAGGTTTTACCTCATTCACATCCCTTGTCATCAGTTCAGTTTCTTTTGTTTTTGCCATTTATCGAATCGCCAATGCTTATCTGAATCAATCCATTTTGAATTCAATCCTGGTTGTTGTGATCCCAATTTTGCTTAAACAACATCTTTCATTATAAATTCACCATCAGTTCAGCCTCGGCATCTGTAGACTGCTACGTATAACGTATTTTCAATACTTATCAGGTATTGAGAAGGTTTACAATCTCAGCATGGGACGATAAATGCCGTGATCTCAATTTGTTGTTTGGAATTAATTTGGTGTATCGAATGAGATTATTTTGAAAATTTATTCATGATTCACTGATTCAAGTGGCGAAAACGTTCATTCAGGCAGTTTGTAAGAGCATATGTCGTGCCGTGCGATTGTCACATTTTTTCATTGCCTTTGCAGTTGTTGAAGATGAATAAATTCGTTATAGGAATTCAAATGTCCGTATTCGGACGATTGCGACATCAATTCCGTGAGTCGCCGATTTTGCCAGAAATGTCGTCTTCGGAAATGTTTCACGGTACAATTCTTTCGAATTTGCTTTGGCTGATTCAGTGAGCAACTAGTAATTGCTGTTGGTCATATACTGTAGAATATGAAGTGGAAGCGATGCTGATTTATCACAATTGTGATATGAGTTCAGATTGGAAGATACCAGTTCGCTGTGTTGATAATCATTCCGTCACATCAAACTGAAACACTTCTTCCTGAGATGAATGCATCATTCAGCCAGAATTCCTTCTTTTTGCTGTTACATTTTTGTTGATATTGATGAAGGAGAACAATAATTCGACGGACAATTTTCTTGTCAGAATGACCATGAATCATTGAATTCTCGGTTGACAAACCAACGGTTCGAATGTTAATGATAACAGATATATTTGAGTATTTATGCGCATTTAAATTTGTCGACTTGTTCGTCAATTCTTCGTCTTTCTAATAGTTCTTTGACGATTGAAGGTGGGCATGAAAAAGGAATGGATATTAAATGAAGAGCAATTGAGAAGGCGGAAGAATTCGAGATTGAATCATATGAATTCTCAGAGTAATATGCCATGTAACAGCGCATCCTTTAATACAAAGCCATCGTCTCTCAACAGTCTAACTACCTCCAGTCCTGTCGGCGTTACCGTTCCTACCACACCTGGTCAGTATTGCGGTTCGTTTATCATAAGGCCTATTTATGTGTTCATTGTTTCATTTCTTTTGATGCGATCTCTTTTTTTATTGGGTGCTACTCTTTGGTTGCTTTTCCTTTCATTTCAGCTTTTTCATTCCATCTTGAGTAATGATTCCTCTTTGTGATATTCGGTAGCGCTCATATACCAGTTTTCAGCGGGCTTAGGAACTGCACATTTATTGAATCGACGCCTAACCGAGCAACCGATGGTGAGCCCGACGAGCGTCAGTTCGGTAAGTTGTCAGCATTTGAATTCATCACTGCTCACATTCTCAGGCAGTCTAATACTCATCATTCATGGAACTCGTTCTATGCGGCATTTCACTTTATTTACTTATTCAGTTAGTGACTTGGCGAACTGATAAATAGATAAGCAATATGCAGTTATCAGCTGCATACAAGATCGCGAATTTCATTCAGCGATTTGTAATCGCGTCGCAGTCATATGTGGAGACGGGTATTTGCAACGGTTTTCAGCACACAAACCTTTTTTGGGCATGCNTGCGCAATTATTATCATCGTCATCGTTATCATCACACTGAAAATGAGTAACCGAATAAAAAGATTGACAGAATGAGAGAGTGCTTCTTTGATTTGTTCTGTTCGTTTTGGATTGCTCCAACGGAGAATCAATCTCTTGTTCTGTTATATCGGTGATTGTCTCTGAATGTCGTTATTATTTTTTCTGCACTTTATGTTCTTAACATTCCCATCCTTCACCAGTCATCACTGAATGCAACATTCACCATGAAATGCTAGAATAGTTATGAGTTGTTGCTTGGATTTCGGTGAATTTCAGATGCTAAGCCCTACGGGATCGACAGTTTCACCGTCGGTGCTATCCTCATCCTCTGCAGATTCACCGCCCACCCGTGGCGCTATTCTCGGTCTACCTCAAATTGACACTAACTCTGATGCGGTCAGCGCTTTTTGCATCATTACCCCTCACTTGAACCTCATCACAAATTCCCTTTAAACATATCTCGCAGATTTTCACTTCGTTTCTCTTTCAATGAATTATCCTGAAATTTATTATCGGTTCTTGAATTCCGGTGATTGCATCTAGAATTTTTCTTCGTTTTCCGGTTATCATTTAGAAGTGAGTGATCAGCGTGATTTCTTTTTTGTTGAGGGTTTCATTTTTGAACATAACCGTCAGAGAATACGTTATATCGAATGAGAACTTTGTCCATAAAATCCAATAAACTCGCTTGTGTAGCTTCGAGAGTAATATTATCCTGGAAGACTGTGCTAGATAGGAATCAAAGTTATGCGGAACACTCCTCTTCTGATTGTACAATTTTTTGAGACTTCATGCCTACAATTACTCAACAGTAGGCAATATATGTCTGCGAGGATGCATTCATTAGAGAGGGGATCAGTCTACTCCATTACTTTGATCCTAATGTTCTTTATAATGTTCATCGGTAATGGTCTCGTCTGCAACTGTCTTTCATGTGCTAACCATCACTGAAGCACTCTGCACCCACCGAATTCATAATCACTGCAATCAATAGGTAATCGGACCATATTATCGGATTTTCAAAAGTTATAACTTTAACTTCAGCCCTTTGTCTCTACCATGCTGAAACCAAGTAGATTTCATGGAACGAAGTGAGTTCGTTATGATTTTATGCTCATATAGGTTGTACGTTCTTGGACTGATCAGTGAAAAGCAAGCGCACTTGAAACTGACTGCCAAGAAGAGTTTGACGTTATGAGCTGTGAATTTTATCTTTTGCAGTGCATTGTTTTATTGAATTTCGATATGAGCAACATTTTATGGTGATACAGAGCAATTCCTTTTACGTTATTGACCAAATTCTAGTGCGTAATATTCGTCATACAGTGTCAACATTCAACTCTTGGAACATTTTCATTTGTATTACAAAGCATGCACACTTGCACTTACATTCAGAATTGTTTGCCTCGTTAAGTGTCAGAATGATGTTTCAAAAACTTGTAATTTTATATGGTCCGAGGTTTTACCATTCGTAAATTATGAACTGAACAAATGAAGTTCCTCAACTCGTTGAAACGATTCGTTTGTGTTGTTTTTTTTCGTTTCAGTGTACTTTTGTTCTTCATTAGACGAATGATGAGTTCTCTCAAGAATAATCCATTTCAAATTGTTGAAACCCTTATCGAACAAGGAAATCGTGTCAACGATCGTTCATTTCATAAGCATTTAATGAAAAATTCGGCGACTGATCAGATGATATTTTGTCATCAGAACTCTTCACATTTATGCAAATAATTTGTTAATGGATACATTTACAATCGTAAAAGCATACACGGTTGACGATAGCAGATCCAATTGAAAATTCAGATTACAATAAACCAGATTTATCTCTCATTTGAAACGCTAATGAATTGCTCATCGATTATAATCAGATTATTGTTTGAATGAGCAAAGAAAATAATTCGATGAAGGTGATTTACGATTACAGTATGAATCGAATATGATGCGTTTGCAACGTCAACAAGCAGCTGCCGCTAATGCAGCATTCGCGAGTTTGCGGCGTAACAGCTGTGCACCTGGACTGTCACCTGGGGCTGCCGCCTCGACTGCAGTCTCACCTTTGACTCGCTCCTCGGATCAGTTCATGATTAAAGGTATCGATCATTCATTCACGTCCTCTTCATTCCTCATTTTAGGCATGTCCTTTCTTTGTGTTTTTTAATGCTTTGCCATGATAACATAGTTGCAAATTTCGATTTACTGATAAGATTTATACAGTAGTAAATTTTGATATGAGAGGATTCTAGTGTTTAATTAGAAATTGAATTTTACGAGGACAATGAAGGGCGAGTAGGTTTGGTTGATTGATGACAACTTTGCTGAGATCCATGACTAGCCTATCGCTTCACATTAACACGCTTCACTTGTACAACTTACTTCCTCTTATTCATTTTTTGATTTTTATTTTTGCTACTTTAAGTTGCCAGCAGGGGTTATGGTAGAGGTTGATTTTTGACATTCTTTTTTTGTGGTAAATTTCATTCGGTTAATGCATGTTTCTTCTTACTCCATTATCCGCAGGATTTTCTTATTGCCGGAATCGCTTTAAACAATGTTAGTTGTAAGAATATTTGATGATGTGTCGTATCGTAAGCCTTGCTTAGGGTTGAGCCTGACTGTCGAGAATTATCCTTCCTTCATGTACCCTTCACATTTTGTGTGCAAACAAGAATAATTATCATCTAAGTTGATGAACCTGAATTCATCAAGGAAGCCTCTTCAAGTGCGGGCCACTTAAATGCATCCTGAACAACTTTCGACTCTTTCGAGACTAAGCCTAGATTAAGGTATTTGTGATATGATACATCATAATGTTTCTTATAAAGAACTAAATCTGGATATACAGTGATACTTAGAGCAAATGAAGACCCTTTTGATTGGTGAATTGTACGCTGAATTGATCACATATTCTTATTCCTGCTCGATCATATGATTAGTGCCGCAAACAGTTCAGTTTTCATTTGAACATCGTCGAAATCGAAGAAGAGGAATGAGAGGAAGTCAGTAATTAACCTGGGATCAGGTGCTCCACCATATGAAAGCACATCATTAGCACATCCAGATTCCATTGGTCTTACCTTAGCTACTGCACTTATAAAATGCGAATCGTACATTGAATTAACATTGAAAGTTTTGGATATCAGGTAGACAAGTGAGAGGAAGAAGATAGGTAGATCGGAGGTGATAAGTTGAATGATGAGCCTAGTGGATTGTTGATATTGGCAGGTGAGCCACACGTGACGATGTCAGTTGAAGAGTATCAAGCGCTCCTGAAGGCAGCCAAAGCAGGCAGTGCAATGTTACCAAATGGAAACACGTCATTGTCACCGACTCTGGACGATATTAAACGTAATGTCTATTCACCATCTGAACACGATTCTCTTCTGAACATCGGCAACAGTCACGGCATCATCCGTCCTACACTCATACAAGGAGCTCGTAAGCAAAACTCATCATATCTAATAACTGTCATTATTCATTTCATGTTATTCCATTTATACCGACTAGGTCATTCGGCGCTTTCGTTGTAACCTATTATCGCGAGTCACTAGTAAAGCATTTCATGGCTTGGTGCAGTAGTCAACTATAGTGGATTTAATTGAAATCAGCACTGAGTTCATCAGTGGTTTTGATTGTACACATTCCTAACTGAATGAGTCATCAGCGCACAAATTGAAAAGTCATCGTTCAGTTGGCTATAAATTTTAGAAAATGACGTATGAGATTCGAGCATNGACATTACATCATCTACCTGATCGCGTTCATATTTCAGCTATTTAATCCCATTTTGTTTCACTGAATTCTCAAAATTCTACCTGGGGACCGATATTTTACCAACGCTTTTGATGTTTGAAAATTTTTTAATACAACCCGTTTTTTGCACCATTCTTTTACCTATTTTCAAAATACCGACAAACTGCATCGAACAAATTCATTCGTGACTTCTTTCCTTCATACGCAATCACATCCACAGTAGTCGTATGATCTTGCATATTGTAGATGCGCTTGAATATGAACGTCATTTGTTGTTCTAGTAGCACGAAAAAATGTCTGATGTTTTTGTGAACAGTGGAGAAACTGCAACATTCTCGTAGAGAAGTCTTTCGCTTGAATGTAGAAAGTGTTTGCTTGAACTGATCGCGATGAACTGTGAAGGTGCTGCAATGATACAACACATCGAATATCATAATCACATTTTAACGCATAATAACATTCTCAACAATTTGCCGCATACTAGAGCACAATAGTCATTAAGTTTCGAGCAATTTGTTTCAACTTTTATTGGCGCATTCTGTAACAGTTTCGTTTCACTGAGTGACCTAGTAATCACCAACGAACACCTCTGCTGGCTGTCGTAAGATCTGAGAATTGAATTTTATGGGAAACTAAGAAATCAATCCTGAATCGTCGATGAAATATTCTTCTGTTATCACTTTATAATTTATTCTCAGTGTTCCGTCAATGTGGTCAAATATTTTCAGCAATCGCCGACTACACTGAGCTAAGTGTTGCGGCAGCAAATATGCCTCGACCAAGTTTCAAAATGACGCCAGATATGGAAAAGAAAGTGAAATACATACACGATACAATTCACGATGAACTCAATCTCGAGTCTCCTAAAACCACTTCTGAACCTGAAGCGTTGAAGGTACATAGCTGTGAATTTTTGCATGGAAAATCGTTTATTCCTTTCTCGGAAAATTCATATTTCCGAACCGCGTTCTGCATACATTTTTTGTCACAGATTATCCACATATATCGGTCGCAGTTCCATCCAAAATTGTTCTTGTATTCATCGTCTGTCCACAGTTCCACATTTAGTTTACAGACCTCTTTTTTAAACCTGTTTCGGCTTCATTGCTTCGATCAGTGCGTTTACTGATAGCAGTATCAGTGAAGGTTTTGAAGTGAGGTTTTATTCCGATTACTCGGCTATCTCACTTCATTTATTCATCTTCGAAAATGCACATTCATTTCTTCCTATTATCGTATCCAATGAGAAGTTTCTCTCAAAATGAGTTTCTACAACAGATGAAACTATGGGCGTCAACAGCTTCAGAAATTTGCTTTCAGGCGGCCATCTATCGAGAAGGTGAATCAAAGCTGAACTATCAGTTGAATTCAGCTGAACTTCGCGCTCTTGATATCGTATGTTCTTAATTAGTATTCCGAAATATGCTTTTTTAAGTGTTCCTTTTTGTTGTTGCTTTGAAGCATCGATCACTCATTCATTATGAGTTTTCACGGAGATTGGTGAAGTCAGTGAATTTTGAGGTGCGTGATGCGTTTGCATGCATGAATGAACCAATCGAAGACCCACGTAAAGCGGCGTGTCTAAAGAAGTCGGATCATAATCCAACTGACATTCTGAATATAATGGATATAACGATGCGGCGTCTTGTGAAAATGGCTAAAAAGTTGCCATCATTTAATGATCTTTCGCAAGATGGCAAATTTGCGCTGCTGAAAGGTTACATTCTCATTTTTGATCATTTCAAATGTTTTGCATCAGTCGAATTGCGCATTCGAAATTGACATTTACTGTCAAATATTAACTGATTGCTTGTAGGTGGTATGGTTGAGATGCTGACAATGCGGGGTGTCACTCGCTTTGATATGGATCAGAAGTGCTGGCGAACGCCGGTTGTTGCAGATCATTATCACGTATCTTTGGGTATGTTCGATCAGCTCAAAGAAGGTCTTCGCGATCAGCAAAAAGATGGATTCCTCAAGTAATCCTTTGCTTCTTCTAATTCAGTGCGGATGAACACAAACAAAAAAGTCATGCTGACTATGAGTGCAGTGTTGATGTGATTCCATACCACCTCAGTTTATTCCTGTAATATCGCAAGAACAGAAAGTTATCAGTCAAGTGCGAATGAGCTCGTGTGCTTCGATACGGTGTAATGAATTCCGAATAATGAATATGAATTCAGATTTTGTCAGTCATTACATCCCGATGTACGAACGAATGAATTGGTGATTGATCTGATCGTGTTGATTGTACTGTTCGATTCCAATCGTGAAGCACTCACTGATCCTGCCGATAAGACAACTGTTGCACGTCATTGTCAGGAATATCAAGCATTACTTCATCGGTAAGTTATCGTCACTTTTTATCTTCATATCAGCATCCTCTCATACACATTTACTGTTTCATCTATCTGAATCGCTCAGCTGATTTGAATAATTCTAACATTTTTTGTTATGTTTAATCTCGTTCATTCATAAAATCATATTTCCGAATGTTTTTCCGTGTTTCTTTCACCACCCAAACGGCTGCTCATTCCTTTCACCAAATGTTTTCAAATTTTCATCTCTTCCGCACTTCTGAGGCCGATATCACATTCACATTCCTTTTTAATAATCATCGAATTTCTGTTTTTATCAACACACATTTCACTCTCCGTTAATTCATTTTCGAAGCAGTTCATGTGATCGATAACACACCAGCTCATTGTATCAATCAATATTGATCTTCACATCTTTTCTCCTCCGTGATGCAACTAACTCTCTCTCCGCCAGCTGTGAAACATTCAAGGCAGCTATCACTAGCCACTAACCAAATATCAGCGAAATACAGCCACCGAGTCCATATATTAATACGCATGCTTACATATACGCGCTCACGTTCATCGTTGTTTCTCATTAAGTTGGCTATAGTCCAGTTGTTTTTGACTTATGTTCGGCAACTACAAACGATCTCTCCGGAGGTCGGCCTACATGTTACATGTTGTGACAGCTGCCATTTCATTTTCATGGGCAAAAGGGAGCGTGTAGTCTGAGCTGGCCGAACAATTTTATGGAGTATTCTTCAGAGAATAACCGAAACTTGTCATCAAGTTTCAATACTAAGAAGTATCGAAAATGTCTAAGTTTCGCAACTGTTAACCGATAGCTGATAAAGTGAATTCGAAAACAAAGTTGCCACTGAAGAAATTCGTTCCGAATGGTCAGTAGTGCACTAATCATTCCAGGTGAAAATAAACTCAATGTATCACCACCTCGTTTGTTGCTATGTTTACAATTTTGGAGGGAGGGATCATATTCGTTGAACATATTCTTGGATTACTAATAATTCACGGTGATGAAAGGTGAATGAGTGGATCGATGAAACTGAAAGAGCGATTGAAACGATGGTAAATTTTCAGATATCTGGAATCAATGTATGGCTATGAGGCTAGATCACGATACGAGACATTACCAGAATCATTGCGAATCCTACGAGTGGTCAGTCAGAATGCTGTGACGTTGTTCTTGGGTCGTGTCGATCCCAACGAATCCGAAGCATTGCCAAAAGAATTCTTCAAAACAACTGAATGAATGATTGAACGTGAATGCGATCTCAATCGAGATCGCATGTGAATTACATCAGTTGATTAGGATCATCGCATCGTCTTGCTCGTCTCGTCTCGTCACCAATACCTCTTGCAGCGTGTCACACACACACACAAACAACTATTTCGTCTTCATTCAATAGTCTTCATATTCTCGTTTCCTCCTTTATTCTTGTCACATATTATGCTCTAAGTTTTAAATGTTAATCAGTGTGATTCATCCGCAGTACTGTATCATTCGTTCACTCCAATGCGAAAACAGTTCGTTGTTGAATTGGTTTGTCATTTACATTGTGCGCTCCTTTCAGCACATTTCAACCGTAATTTTCTTCTCATCTTTCGTCTGACTACTATCACTTTTCACTCTGATCGCTGTCTCGTTGTTTTTTGTATCCTTACTTGTTAGATTACTTCTTTCTTAACTAACCAGCGCAGTTGAAACAGTTTCTCTCTGAATATCGAAAAGAAACGTCTAAATGTAACACTTCGTAAAATTCACTGTATTAATTTGAATACTGATATCATAGATTTGTAATGTTTGCCTCCTTCTGTTTTCATCGTTGTATTATCGTAGGATGATAAGATTTTGTTCAAGATAGTATTTATATTCGTTTCGCTATCTTTTCATATTCTCTATACAAATCCGTTGATGCTATCCCGGTGTTGTCGTTTAATTCTGATGAAAGGAAACGGTGTTTCTTTCTTTAATCGTTCTTTTTTCTGTCCCTAATTTTAGCTGTTTTCTCGTTGTTTTCCATCGTTTGATGATGAATATCACCGTGATTTTGTAATTATGAATGATGTTTTTGGTGTGCACACCGTCTTTAAATATTGATCAATCGGGATATTGTTTTATGTGTGTTTCTCATGAAAGTTTTCATGTTCTCTATATATAGAGTTTGATCTTTATCATTGTTATCATTTGGATAACTGATCATCCTTTTATTGCACTTTACATTTGTTTGCTCTTCACGATGAGCGTTGCACATATTTGATCACTATGTTTTTCATCTCTCTACAGTAAGCTTCATTAATTTTCTCGAGTTTCTTATTTTCAGCACCATCATGTGATACATTCAATATCGATATTTTATTCGGTAATCTAAATGACTACTTCATTAAATACCATATGAGCCCAAAAACTCTTGCAATATTGAGTACTCTTGCGATTATTCGTCAATAACAACACTGATATTGATAGCCATTAATTGATATATCTACCTGTAAGAACAATTGAATATACAACGGTGAATATAAGTTGATATAATTCTTTTTTCATGCTTTTTTGATTATCTCTCGGATAGACGAAATGTGTAGAAGGTATGAGTTATTTCTTTTTTCTTTGTTTGATTTTATTGTTGAATCTTTCTATCACTCTCACAGCAATTGCTACCTCGTGCTATGTTATATGTTCTTTTTTCTTGTTTTACTTACTGGCGAACGATTTTTTCGAGGCGTATGAACAACATCTATCTCATCCTCATTGATCAAGACAAAGCATGAAATTGCAATTCTGAACGGCTTGTTGTGATGCTTGATCATTGTTTCGAATTCAGTTTCGAGCTATATGCAGATTTGACCGATAAGTGTTTGAAACTCTGCTTCAAATCATTTGTTTCAGCGACTTAACAAGGTTGAATTTTTCGATGATTCGTAGCTGTAAGTTGCAATTTATTGCTGTTGTTGTTCATATTGCCATTATTAGCGCTTGATTTGCCCTCATATTGGAACCTCATCTTGTGTTTGCGTGTATTGATTGGGCATTGTCAGGTGGAAGTTTTATTCTTTTGTTTTGTTCGATGATAATCCTTTATAACTGTCACACTGTTGTTTGGGACATCTCTTGCGAAACCAAACGGCGTTTTGCCTGAAAACACCTCATTTTTAATTGTTTTTATTCTGTTTGATTTGATTTCTTTTTCGTTACATATTTAATTTTTAACCGAGAAGTTTTACTTCTTTTGTACTTCCTTCAAACGTCTCGCTTCACGTTCATGAACTGTAAAAACGGCCACATTTGTTCCCAAATTCGTTTTGTTTCATTCGTCAGACATTTCACGTTACATTCAATCGATAAATTTCATCATGTGAAATATTTCAGTCGATCGATCCAATCGAATCGTTTGTGAAGTTTTCATCGTAACAAAGAAACGATATTGGATATTGCAATCAACAGTGACATTTAGTTCACTGTTTAGTGTAACATCCATCGTCGATCAAGTGCATTGCTTGTTAGTGTAATTAAGATCCTCAATTTCTTATGGTTGTCATCGTTTTTTATCCAACAAAACTTTCATAAGTCATTTTTCCCTTCAGTGTAAAAGCAGCAAATCGGCTCTCCAGTTGACTATATCCTCTGAAATTCTCAGTCTGTTCGTTGCTGACGAGTACTGGTTGTTTCATCAATATAGGCAATGAAATGATAGTTGTCGAGTATTTGGTGTGTAGGAGATATATGACGTGCTGAAAAGCATTTAGCTGAGATTCAGCGTTACATCAACAGCTGATTGTTATTGTTAATATTGATGTCAATGAAGTGTTATGGCATAGCATTTTGCAACATTGAAAGTTTCCTTGGAAATTATCGATTGATCGTAACGTAATGTCGTGAATGAATTCTATTCAAGGAACTTCTCGATTCAATTTCATTCGAAATGGTTATCGTTTCAGTTGTTGCTCTCTTTCATATTGATATACATAAATTTGATATTCATTCGTTGATTGATTCATCACGATTCGATTCGTCTCTTTTATCATCATCAAAAACACCAACCACCTCATCAAGAACTTATATGCTCTCTTCTCAGCTTTTCACTAATTATCGTCATCATCATCATTATCTTTCTACTTCAGCAACTCACAATCAATTCAAATTTTGTACTATACGCAGCATAGAGTGTTTGTCTGTTTGTTTGTTTGTCTTTAACAATGTGGTCGTAAATAAATCTTATTTCATTATTTGTTTTGGTTGGCGTTTGTTGATTCGTTCACTTATTCATCACCGACACCCGCATGTTCCATCGAACAAACGAGAATTACTGCTTCCAGCTGCACAGTATTTGTTGTATTGCAGTTGAATGGGGGTAATGTTGTGAATAAACGCTATGATGCTATTCAAGCTACTTTTCGGTTGCCTTTCGCACGAAATGATTATTGTCAAAACGACGACACCTTTCAGCATCCAGAAAAATTGTTTTTTAATGACGAGGTAATTTTCGCAGGAGTTGAATGAATCAATTTGAATTCGTATCATCGGAGCAATTGAGTGGGAGAACAAGGTATGACTGAACAAATACAAATGGTTAATGGCACTTCTCTTGTTCAAGTAGTTGATGGAACGAATACTTGGCTCAGTCACCTGACTATTAATTCTCGAAACGTGCAAAAGTGTTACATTACCAGTTTTTGTGGAATGAAGTCAAACGTTGTTTACGTTACAGTGAAATCCTTATGCAAACCAACAAAAGCAATTATCATTCTACGAACGCCTTTCCACAAACCGATGAGGTATATGTGATCAGCTATCGCTTCTGAAATTGTGTTCTTCTAGAAATGACATTGAAAGAGTGCTTATAGCTACACAATATCATTCATCACTTGGAGAAGTTACTCTGAAATAGTGGCAGGATAGGTTTGGAAATCCGTAACGGTGGAGCGCAATTGTGAAACTCGTTTCTAGATTTACGAAGCCGGTCCAGAGAACTGGGAAGCTCAAAGGAGACGAATTTGACTCCAAAGATTACGAGCCGAAACTCACAGAGAGTTAAGGTTTAGTTTCATGGCAACCGTCGAGGTGGTGATCGATCACCTGAACCCCGGGCTTCGTTATTGATTTTTAAGGTGTTTTTTATTTTAGGTGAATTGAGAAATGTTTTTATTGTTTTCGTATTCGATGGTAGTATTAGAATCTCTGAACCGTATTAGAATTAGAATCACTTTTACTTGGGTATTATCATCTGGAGAGATAATATCCTTAGAGAATAGTGACTTTGGTGTTCAGATAAGAAAACAACAATATCCTATACAAAATCAAATGGCTCTCCTGGGGCTCTAAACCTCTTCAACATTGGTTTTCCAGCTGAACTCGTCTTCTGGATACCCTTTCCGCCTCTGACGGGCATCATCACTTGCGCTGAAAGAGATCTCGGAGTGAATAAATTGGATGTCCAATTTTGGTTATCACTTATTAGATTTTACACCAGTACTGTCAAATTATCGAAAATTTTAAAAGTAGAAGTTATTTTTACTTTGCTTGATTCCCGTTGCCTAACGTTGATACTTTACTTAAATTTTGCTTGCGATAAATTTCTTTAAATATATTTTAATTTCATCTCCCTCTGATTTCAATTTAAAGCATACTTCCCATTAGATCTGTTGATGTTATTAATGATGCTTTGATTGATCCAGACATAATATATGTTCAAGCATACATCAGATAACCTTCGGACAGGTCAATGCTTAAATGAGGGTCTCATTGAGTGTTGCAAAACTTCGATCGGCTGAAGTGATTGGCTAACTCTGAACTCACTGTGTAAAGGAATCATCTAGGCAATTTTGAAAAATCAGCTAAATTGCATTCTAATAAACATATTCCCTCATACGGTTACACTCGAATCATTGTGATCTACCCGAAATCATGAGCGTATAAAGCAATCATCAGAAGGAACTGATCTATTCGCAATCACGATTACAAGAATGATTAGTTAGATACAGTAAATTTGATATGAAGAGTAAAAGAAATGACAACCACAAACACTGAGGATCATCTAAGATGAAATGGAGGGGTTTGATTTGCGAACTGACCAGTCAGAACTGGATGTAGAAAATAGTGTCGGTGAAGCTCTTAAAGAGTGTCGCATTCGTGATGAATATTGTTTCGTGAATAAGTTGAAATTTGGTGTTTTAGAGCATAACCACTCTCCTCTCTGTCTCATTCCGGTAATGAAATTAGTTGTGGTTTGAAGAATGTACCAACAGTTTTACTGAGTGAAGAGCGATTGTTGGTTTTTGAAGTGTTAAATAACTGACTGAATTAAATACTTAAGAATGAATACTGCAAACGAAGATCTGTAAGCTTGTTGATAATCACTTACAACTTTACAACACGATATTTAATTTTTAATTATTGATGCGGTAATAAATAAATTTTGAAGAATATCCTCAGTAGCACTTCGATACTCAATTAATTGCTTGTCGTCATCGTCACTGAACAGGCTTTTTCATGATGACTTTTTTGCCCTATTAAGGATAAAAGTTCATTATGTGTATTGTGCATTCAGATCCATTAAAAAGTAATCTTTTAAGCAAATAATGTTGATGGGTCAAATTTATTTGAATGCGTTGTCAGGGCAAGAAGAAAGACGAAATGAGGATTATATTGGAATGGATGGAGCATCTGATGCAGGAAGTGTGATGGTAGCAGGGCGAGGATATTAACCGATACCGAGGATGATTGCGATATTTCATTATCGCTTTCCCCGAACGATTACATTTAGCAATTGAAATCCAGTGATCAACTTAGCGATCTCGCTTTATTGATTTCTTGAACCCGGGTAGTGTTCCTGATGGATGTCACGCCAATTAACTACGGGCTTTATTTCGGTAAGTTCTTTACAAGTTTTCAGCACTCTAGCAGCGTTATTTTCCATTTAAATCCTGTTCATGCCAGCTTGTTGTTCTTTATCAGTTTGAAAGTGGCTAAAGTTTACTTATTTTGAATTTTTTTGGATATGTTCTAATGTAACGACAGATGAAAGTTGCACGTATGTAACGGGATGAAGTAATTTTTTGAGGTTTCGATTAATCATGAAATGGTAAATTAATAATTTTTGAAAGGGAGATAAGTTTTGAATGGAGATAAGTCTTGAATCACTGCATAAATTTTTGCAAAATACGATGAATTCAAATTTCCGGAAAACTGAAAAAAAAGCAGCAGAGAGTATTAGAATTGAAGAAAGTCGAAAATAATAAAGCTTTTACTGAGTTTTGTAAATGATCTTTATTTTGAAGATTTGAAGCCCATATGAACGTTATGACAATGTTAACCTTCATCCCCAAAATAACAGAAAGTTGAGCAGTTTACATATTTTTGCTATTATTTTGCAATTTGGGAGAATGAAATGGTGAGTAATTTGTATTATAGGACGGTGGACATGCAGAAGGAGCAACGAATTGGAATAGGGAGGATTTGAGTGATGGAAGTGATGCTAACGAAGACGAGAAGAAATTGATCAACAACAAGGAGAATTATACGAAGACATTGGGTAGTAGTGGAACTGCGAATGCGTCGACTATGAAAACGTTGAATAAAAATGAAAGAAAAAACGAAGTATATGGTGCTGGAGGGGTGTATTGATTGGACATGAATTATTAGTCACGTCGATGATTGTTATGCTCCGAACGCACCAAATCGCTGTTGAAAAGCTCAAATATTGTTGTGAAATAGCCATGACTCTCGTGATGTGTCGTGAATGATGATATTCACGATTTTTTGATTCATCCTTAGCATGCAATGTCTATGTCTTATCAGATTATTCTGCCTTATTTTTGAATATGTTGAAAATGTATTATTTTTGTAAAGCATATCTCACATTATTTTATATGGCATCATTTCCTTCTATCTTGCCGTAATCTAACTAGTATTATGAAGCTAAATTTGTTCTGATTATTGTTGTTGTCTATGTTTACGTAATTCGAACGTTTGCTGTTAACGCTCTGCTTCAACTCATCCAACCGCACCACACAATATAACTTTCAAAACATGACACTTCTTGCGGACTCTGCTGTCACTGTTATTTCGAATCCCTGGGCCTATTTTTTGTTTCCTAAATTTGTCATTTTTAGCGTTAGGATATCTGAATTTTTATCAGCAAACTATTTTTGCATTATCTTAAGAGAATGTGAATATTTTGAGTGATTGGTCAGAAATGTATAGTGGAATATTAAAATTTCTATTTTTACAATTTCTAATTCTTGTATCGCTTATCAATCTTTTTTTTAACTGGTATGATGTATCTTCCGTGATGAACGACAACATTTCTGATGATGTTAATGACTGAAATGCATGAAAAGTAGAACGGGAATTTCATATTTGATACAGCTGTCCATAATTCGAATTTATTTTCATTCCTCCGATGAATTTTTACTTATTCAATAACCATCACTTTGATGGAATGATTGCTTCATCTCGAAGATAATTTCCCAAATGTTCATTGCATCTTCTTTCTTCATGAGTAATTGAACTTGTTGTTAAATTTCATTTTTTTAATCGCTGAAGAATTTTTTCTTTGCTTTTTGTTTTTGATTGCCGAGGTTCATACTGTTTCTGCAGTGGATAAATGAAGTTCTGAAAATACTTGCTTCATTTCAGAAAATTAATTTATTTCACGCCATTGAGGAATTTCAGGACCGGTTTTCCTTTTCTCCCGACGTTATGCGTAGAAATTGTAAGTTTTTGTATCAGGAGAGAGGGAAGGGGAGGGGGTAACGACGGCGTGCCAAATCATCAAAATGGGTAATGGAGCACCCGAGCGTGAGAACCACTGCTCTATTCGAAGGCAGTGCTCGTAAATTTATTTCTTCACGAGAGTGCACGCGTGCATACTTTATACTCTGTTCAGTTTTGTAGGTCTGTCGAAATGAAGGATTTTGAAGTGAGGAAATGAGAGCGATATTTTTGGCCGCTTTAGATCTGCCTAGGGCAAAACCTGAGTGGTGTGATCAAGCATGGATTCCTTGCAACTAGTGTTCGTTGGAGAGCAATTTTTTGCACGGGGGGGTCCCCGCGGGGAGTAAATTGAACGGGGGGGGT